CTGAATTCATGACCCAAATGATTTTCATGTTTTTGCAGGTTTCTTTATTTGTTAACAATATACCCTTTTTTTTTTAATTATCAGCTCCTGTCTATGGCAACAGCTACCACGAGTATCACTTTGACGAGTACAAGAACCGCAAACGAGGCTCGGCATCCAACGCATACCGCTGGCCAAAAAGTAGCGACGGCAGAGTCGACATCACCTATTATTTTGGTAACTAAACAAAAAAGAAATACAATTTACCACACGGGTCCTACAACTGGTGTGACTGTCTGTACGTAGAAAATGTAAAAAAAAAAATGTGTGAGAATACCTTTAGGCTAGTTAAAATAGTGCGAATAAAATCTATTAAATGTTTAGTTTCAAAATAAACGTAAGCTTTCGTAAGCAGTTGTCCGTTGTTTAGAGTGAAAAAAGGAAGAAGCGAATTTTAGAGGACAGAACTGAAGGTTTTACGACGACGTTGTTTCGAAGTTTTCTGGAGTGAAAATGTGTGTTTCGTATGTATTTTATTTTAATAGATTTCTGGAAAAGCTAAAGCAATATTAGATCAGAAGCCCATCACTAAGAGCGTGTAACTACCCCATAAATTCCTGTCCCGGCGTTTTCACAGACTTATCTATTTTTAGTTTGAATTTACCGCGAATTTAGACCCCTGCAGGAACTTCAGTGACCAATCACAAGCATGGACTTAATTATTTTCAACTGACGGCCTCACTTCACCTGAAAATTAAAAAGAAAAAACAACCCCCCGAGGCTGCCATTTTTTTCCCCTTCCGATGCGCGCTCATGTAGACCGGAACTGACCTATTTCGCGGAAAAAAGCCTAAAAATAGACCGGTATATAAAAATGCCGTGACATAGGCTTAGTATGGGAGTTGCACGCTCCTAGTGATGGGCTCCTGATTAGATGATAATGAGCTGTCTCGGTTTCTATCGACCTTTGAAAGTTTCTTCACTTGTACAGTTAATTAGCCGTTCGCCAACCCTCAGCAGACAGAAATCTCGAGCCGCCGTCTGTTTTAAAAGTAGTTTTCAAGACTTCTGGTTTTTTTTTTATGTTTGAAGCCAGTAGTATGAATTCCGATGCAATCAAGTGGGCAAAAACTGTCATCCACCAGTTATCGCAAGACACCTGCATTGATTTGATTGAAGGAAGTGAAGATGATCATGAAGTGGAGTTCACCAGCGGAAATGGGTAAGTATCGACCAGACGTACGAAAGGTAAAGGTAAAGTCCGCACACGAACCAAGTAGCCCATCAGGCCGGAGCTTATCCCGGTTTCTTTAGCAGTAAGTGACTAGGAATGTTTCTACTCCCCCCCTCCCCCCGCCTGGATGGGAAGCCAGTCCTCGCGACTTACCCTCAGCAATTAGTTCGCTGGTACCCATTTATACACCTGGGCGGTGGGAGGCACTGTGAGAGTTAAGTGTCTTGCCCAAGAGCACAACACAATGTCCCTGGTCAGGGCTCGAACCCAGACCGCTCGGAGTGCCAACCATGAGGCCATTGCGCCTCAACATTGACCAAAGGAAACACTACTTACAATCATCAGTGTGTCAGTCTTTAAATACAAGGTCTCTGGCCATTATCATCTTATGTGGTGTCGACTGACTGGAGATGCGCCTGGTTACAATAAAGAAAGGGCCAAATAATACCGTTATGGTTTTGGTAAACATACTGGAGTGTTGAATCTTGGAAAAAAAAAACGGTGCTGGAATGCGAAAATGAGTAAAGCAGTGCTGAGAACGACACTTTTAAAACACAAATCTCTGTTGTTGTTGTTGTTTTTTTTGTGACAGTATAACGACAACAACAGCATCCTCTTTATTAGCTCTTAAATCACATGCTAGATTATAGATACAGCTATGAAAAACAAAGGCGCTGACGACACGAATTAACCATTAGGTTACAAATGCCAGTTTGTCAGTTTGCAAAATGACTTTGCTAGGTTTGGACATCAGTATCATCGGTATAAGACATCACCCTGGCATTTGAATAAATAAATGCATAAAGATTGTGAGCCCGGGGCACCCTCAAAAGACCTTAAGAGGCCAACAAGTCGCACTTAGATTACCCTGGGTGCCGGAGGTTTTTCTTGCGCGGTTTCCGGTGTCGTTCATGTCTCTATTGTGACCTGCGCCGAAAACTTTTTCTCTCGGCTTCGCCGCTATAAGCGAAGCGAAGTATTTCCGTTCGCCGCGTGCGAGAAAATACCTCTGGTACCCAGGGTACCCTTAGATTCGTTACGTACTTTTTTCCTGTAGTCAGGCACAATCCGACAGTCAATTGAAGATTCTTCGTGTACGCAACAAAAATAGGCCAGCTTATTGCGCAGTCCGGACACTTCACACACACCTTCCATCTAACCACGGCTTGCACATCTTGGAAACTTTAACCTAAATCTGTCACGTTTGTCGTTGGCAATCCGTGTCAATCCTCTCCATCCTTAACCATCCTTGTCCCTTTATGTTTATTATTATCTCTTTGGTTTTTTTCTATCTTAACGGTAAACTAATATTTTCAGGTTTCCTTCAATTTAAAGGTAATTTTGTACGTGACCGAAATAACTCGTGACTGAGCTCCTTTAATGGAATTATAAAGGGCTGGAGGACACAGTTCTACGAATTGAAAATACATGAATATTTTCTCCTTACAGCTGCAGTTCCTGGATAGGACACATAGGAGACAGTCAAGATATCACTCTAGGAAATGGATGTCACAACAGGGGAACGATTGCTCACGAGATAATGCATATGCTGGGATTTTACCACGAGCACACTAGGCTGGACCGAGATCAGTACATTACAGTGTACAACGAAAATATTTTGGACGGTATGTTACCGGGGAGGGGACCCCCAAATTTAAAGGACGGGGCAACTCGTTGTACCTTGTAGGGGTTAAAAGAGTGTTTTTAATTTGGTACCTCTTAGAGCCTCAAAAGGTTCACAGAGCGAGCTTTCGCTAACCTTTTAGGGTCCTTTAGGGTATCAAACCGAAAAATATATGACAGGAGATGTTTGGGTGTCTGGAAAACCCGAATAGTGAATAGCCGCAAATAGCGAATAGCGAATAGTACGAATAGTGCGAATAGTCTCGAATAGTGCGAATAGTGCGAATAGTGGCGAACAGTGGCGAATAGTGGCGAATAGTGACGAACAGTGGCGAAGAGTCACGAATAGTCGCGAATAGTGACGCATAGTCGTCAACAGTCACCACTTTAGTTCAGCACTGGTCTGGATTCGTTGAAATTGATTACTTGGAGCAACAGCGTTTATCCGCGGACGATGATAAATTCGACCAAGCACGGTCTGTGTCAGTTTATCAACTGAAAACACCTGGTTATAAAAACAAAAAACATCTAAGCTATATCTTGCGTTAATTAATTATCCAAATAAGCAACAGAATTTCACTGAATTTATTACCTTTTCTTCTCCGGACTCAGGCTAGAGCTGTCCATCGCAGACATTAAAAAAACAGAAAACACAAGAATAACCTGATAAAGACGTATTTACGCTTTTGCAGCGGTGTAAAGAAAAGAAATTACGTTAAGAAACACTTTTTGTGCTAAGTGAATAAAGATGGTAAATTTTAAGCTCGGTAATGTCAAATGAAATGTGAAAAGTGAACTTTGTCTCACGCTCGTGTCATGTTGATCAGTTCACTTTCCACATTTCGCCTTTTGTCCTGATACGCGTCTTTGCTTTTTAGCGGGAAAATCCCACCCCGCGTTACTGCGAGGATGACTGCGAGAACCTGGGTACCCTATTTGCAACGATTCTCCACTATTCGCCACTATTCGAGACTGTTCGCCACTATTCGCACTTTTCGAGACTATTCACACTATTTGTACTATTCGCTACTCGCTATTTGGGACTATTCGCTATTCGCGACTAATCGCTATTCGGGTTTTCCAGACACCCGAAATATATTTGTTTATCAACTGATTTTTAATTTTGTCTCAGAATTGGTACCTAGCTCTTAGGGGTAAAAGAAATTTCAAGCCATGGCCAGTTCAGTTTTCAGTTTTATTATCGCACACTATTTACAGAAAAACAACTTAACGTGAGATGGTTCACAATGATATAGGAAAAATGAATACAGATAGAAATTAACTACAAGAAACAGTATTTAATTGTGTACAGTGACCAAAGTAGCCAATGAGCTTTCGTGATAAAGACGTATTTACGCTTTTGCAGCGTAAATACCGCAGAACAGGGTCCTGCCGCGTGCCGGGTGCCTCTTAGGGATTCTTTTCAAAACTTCCGACGAGCACCCCCGTCCTTTTTATATGGGAGCCCCCCCCCCCCCCCCCCCGGGGAGGGTATGTTATTCACTCTTGAAGCTGTTAGCGTTCAAAGTTGTAATTGTGGAGGAGGGGAGGAAGAAAGGTGGGACTGACGCTCAGCTATTATGTGGCACTAAAGTTTAGCGGGTTTAATTTTTGCGATTTGTGCGGTTTTCTCCACCATCCGCATGCAAAGAATAGTTCCAGCGAAAAAAAATTACTAATAATTTCCCGCACAAATTTTCTCCGCAAAAATTTACTCCACTGGCGAAATTATATATTCGAACATTACAAGTAGAATCTTGTTGCTTCTATTTATTTACAAAGGTCCTTTTCGTTCCGCAGAAACAAAACGATGAAATGTTATTGCTAATTCATTACCGGCATAATCAGCCCCACAGGAACACGACTAATTGTGATAGAGTGAAACTGATCACTGGATTACTGTGTTCAACATCTCTACATGTTTTTTCACTTGTCAATTACATGCAGCTTATTTTAAAAAATGCGAAACGTTGAAATTTCAATTAAACAAGACTTCCCAAAACCGCAAAATTTTATACCCAGCAAGAAAAATCAGTCTTTTCCAATGGCAAAAATTGGTTCTCGCAAAATACAAAAACTCACGTAAACTAGAGTGAACCAGCTTGGCCTACTCATTTTCCTCTCTTTGTTATATTCGTTGGCAGGGTATTCGTCGGAGTTCGACATGCGAAGCCAGAACAACTTTGGATATTCGTACGACAAACACTCCATCATGCAATACAAGAATACTGCCTTTGGCAAAAAACAGAGTGATGGCACTGACGCTACAACTATGGAGTCCAAATCCGATCCTTCTGAAACTCTGGGAGCAGTTTCACACATGGATGCCAATGATTTGGAAAAGATAAACTCATATTACGAATGCAGTAACGCTCCATCCTGTAAGTTGCGTTGCACTGTAAGTTTGTATACGAGCCAAATGGCCCATCAGGCCGGCGCTTATCTCCAGTTTCTGTAGCATGAAGCGACTAAGATTATTTCTACTCCCGCCCCTTCCCTTCCCCCCGGATGGGATGCTAGTCCATCGCAGGGTTACCCCCAGCATTAAGTTCAGCGGTACCCATTTATACACCTTCGTGGAGAGAGGCACTGTAAGGGTGAAGTGTATTCCCAGGAACACAACACAATGTCCCCAGCTAGGTCTCGAGCTCGGACCACTCGATCCGGAGGCGAGCGCACTAACCATGAGATCACCGCGCTTCCACATACATAGTCGTACTGGCTAACACCAGCTGCTATAATGCTCATAGGATACATCATTCAGGGAAACCTCTTAAAAGATCACCGTACCGTTGGCACTAAATTGAGCGGCTCCGAACTCGAAGAAACAACTGAAAAATGCCTTAGACATGTACAAAATTTTTAACATTCATGTCATATATTTTTAATATAAATATTCAGAATTTCTATGAATTAAGATCCAGGAAGATTCTATATTATCTCAAACAATATCCGCGTGTTTGCATGTAGACCTCTCAGAAAACGCTTTCAGGCTTACTTAAGCGTTGAAAGCTCGCGCGTCAATGAATTATTTACAAACGAGTGCATGTAAATTGCATGATGAAGACGTCGGCTTGATCCAGTCTAAGGCCTTGTGAGTGAGGTATAAATGATATGGCGCATATTTGTTTGCAGTCGTGGATCACACAATCACTCTGTCAACCAAGGAGAACACTTGGCTCAGTTGTTGCCATGGGACCGATGGATATGTGTACGTAAAACTCGTGGGTAACTCTGGTGCCTCGCCTTGGCAGCTTGTCACATCGGGAGGACAACTCTATGCCGATGAAAACGAGGGTGGCGAGTAAGTTATTGTTTCTGCTCTTGTTATTCGTACTAATGTTGTTACTGTTGCCCTTGCTGTGTTTTCATATCTTGGGTATTTTTGTGTTTGGTCAGAGCAGTGTATCAGTCGGCTACACTCGTAATTTCGTTTTCTCCCAACTCGTGTTTCGCGGCTTCTCGTTTGACGAAAAATTGTGGAAAATGCGAGTGTTTGTAATCTAAAACGTTGTTTCCTCAATCCATCGTATTTAAGGAAAATTCTGTCGGCGTACATGCACGTGAATTTATTCGCTTGCCGCATGCATTGCACGCAGGAAAAAAGATGAATGTGTTGAAACATGTGCGAGTGAACGAATTTTGTTTAACGACTGTTTTTTTCCATGACGCAGACGCAACTGATCCACTCTGACGTTAAGTCATCTTTTTCTTTCGCAAATTTCGTGGCCGTAACTGTTCAATTATTGCTCTACTGAGTATATCTCATGTTTCTTTCGCACGTCTTCCAACACCTGGAAGGATCAGAAATGTCCCTCGTTTCGTGTTCGGAACTGTTTTCCAATCTTCACCGGTCTCCAAGTCCTTCCAACTCAAATTTTTGGTGGCCATGTGGTAAAAACCTGTTTCAACAAACAACTACATAGTTACCTTCCTTTTGATTTTAAATGTTAGTTTTGCAAATCGTTGGTCTTTTTTTTGTTTGTTTGTTTTCAGCACTCATTTTCATGTTGTGATTTATTTCAGATGCATTGCTTTTACATCACACCGATTAGTATAGGTAATCGTATGAATGCGAATGCAATTAGGATTCACACTACGAATCATACTTGAATTGCTCTCAAAATTAAAAGGATTTCCATGCAGTAGTAGTGCTATTTGAAAATTCTTTTAAATTGCTCTCCCCTAAGGGCTTGTGTAATTTTGAGAGAAATTTCAAATATCTCTCATGGTGTAAGTCCTAATTGCATTCGCATTCATACGATCACCTATACTTTTCGGTGTGATGTAAAAATTGCTCAAGCTTTCATACGATTACTCATCTATCATAGTATGGTTGGGAAAATTACAAACGCGCGTAAAACGTAAAACGTAAAACGTAAAACGTAGTGTAAACAAAAGAATTGAACTGAATTGAATTGGATATTTCTTTGTAAATTCGTTATCCTTTCTAGTGTACAGACACACAAGCTGCCTTTCCCAGACGTGGGAACCATCAGCTCTGTCAAAGTAGCCCTTGAGGCTGAGGGTGACATTAAGACCAGGAAACGGCGCTCGGTTGAAACAAAAGCAAAAAGGTTATTTGATGGATGGACTCTTGAAAACGTAAGTGTCAATGTGAAATATATATATATAAACAACAGCCTCCACTTGGCGCGAAAATAGGCTCGGATATTTGTCCGCAGACATTATCTGTTCCGAGAAGCAAGCAGTTTTCCGAGAGCGTAGCTTGAGGAAAACTGTGAACTTCGAGGAACAGATAATGTCCAGACAATGTCCAAGGATGATGTTAACATTGCCGACACTTTAACAAAAGGAACTCGCAGCTAAACTCGACGGAAATCTTACACCTAAAATGAAACTACATACGTCATGTTATATACGCACGGCCGTGCGTACATAGAGATTTTTACTATGATGGCCCAATAGGAATTAGATAAGACCGGCGCGCGTGCTTTGTACGTCATAAGGGTTTTTAAAGCATGCGTCATTCATTACTTCACAAAATTTATTTGGTGTGAGGGTTTTTCATCTTATCGTGTTTTCATTTAACAGTTGGCACTGGACGGTGTGTCTTACGGTGGCGGAGAACTCGATGTAGGAGACGAGCTGACACTTACAGCATAATAAGAAAGAGCAACAGGACAAGGAATTCCACACTGACTCACAGACACGACACATGGAAGGAACAATTACTTGCGCTGTTCATACAGATTACATGATTAGTTAAAACCAGGAAGAAAAAAACAGAAACTCGAAAAAGTATTAACTTCGTTTTATCAAGTAGCAGCGGTGAATTATTATTTATAATACTTATCTTGTTCTCAAACTCAATTTTCATTAAGTTTAAACAAAAGAAATCATGACCGTGACGGTGTTTGGATATCTGATCTTAATTAATAAGCAAAGATTTAAACGATTTTATTTCTCCATTTATTTCCTAGTTGTAGTTTCGATCGAGAAGATATATCAGTGTTTGACCGCATTTCCAAACACCTCGAAATTCGTCAAAAATACTTCGCTACGCATCGTATTTTCAACTATCTTCCCAGTGTTTGGAAATTCGGTGAAACACGGTCTTTCGTGTCTGACATATCACTTTCAGTTCTTTTGACACACACGATGTTTACCACCACTGCTGCTTGCGTTTTTTAGTTTGAAGTTGGCAAGTACAAACCACCCAAGACTCTTGCACTTCTCACGCGTCGACTTAATTAATTTATTTTCAGAATAGAGAGAGAAAGAAAATGATAGTCTGATTTCT